GTTTTATGTAACCATTTTTTTTTTTTAATCGATACTAAGAAGTGAAAGATCGATATTATATTGGGCAGCCGAATATCACGATATATCGCCAAAACGATTATTTCCCACACTCCTACTCCACACAGGTGAAAACAAAATGAACCACGCTTTGAAGAAAACCAAAAGTAACCGAGCATCAGCGCTCTTTGGCAAACAGCACATGCTACCCACACAGTGCAATATAAATAATTATCATATCTCTATCTGCAACAAAAATCCAAATTGAATAACAGTAGGAAAGTTCTCCAAGTACCATTATGTTAACTCTCAAAGTTCTTGTACCTATATAGCACCTTTTCAAGTCACACCACCAGACCACCGGGCCGTCTGACCATAATCCGTAGGCAACAGGAGTGTTCTTGAGAGTGTCTTGCCCAAGAATACAGCCGACCCTCTGATTGCAGGACAAACTCCTTAATCCTAAACCAATGTCATATATCCCTTTCCCTGTGGCTGAAAAACCCGTCATAACCCAGGAACAATCAGCGTGTCTACCCAGGTAAAACAACTCGGCAAGCGACCCCCGTTATTTTTTTTTTTTTTTTTTGAGGGGGAGTGGGAATGACCGCAGACTGGTTGTATATCGTCATTTGCGAGGCGAGTAGTTTGAATGTTGAATTTCCGGTGGGGGTGGGATGTAAAGGACTTTGTGTCTGGCTCCATCTTGGTCCTGGTGCATGCATCCCCTACTTCTTCGTCCGGGCTGGGGGTTCTGCATGGTACATCCGGGCTGGCCAGCCAGGATTTTTTTTTTTCTTAGTTTCCTCCGGGAAAGCCAGGAGGTATGGGGGATGAATAGGTTGGCTGTGGGGGGGCGTTGCTGGCCCTGGTGGTCGGCTGGCTCGTGGGCCCTGCGGAACACTATGGCGATGGCCCTACTACTCCACTTGTGAAAGCAAAATCTGTTGGGCTCTTTTTGGCATCAAAACAAGTATTCTTATTGTCAGATTGCCAGACAGGACACTGAAATCTAAAGAAAAAAAAAAGCAACCCGCGTCAAAGGAAAAGTCCAGTCAGAAAGGAATAACCAATTGGTCATTATTTAGACCTAAAACTAATACGTTTGCTGTGATTTAATGAATTAAGCGTTAATCGGTAAAAAAACAACAACAAACAAACAAAAAAAAAACAATATTTTTTGTTGTGATCACTGAGTCTGGGAGC